ACATTTTATTCACGTTGGCCATATGATTAGCACTCACACGGTTTATAAATTGTTTGCATGCAAGTGGCAAATGTGTCCGTGTGTTAAATGGACATGTGTGAATTCACTCGACAGCAGCCAATTCTCCCAGACACCCCTGAGATCTCGAGGTGTCGACTGGACCTTTTTACATCTGCGGCTCTGTCAAATCAAAAGCGTCTCCAAACGAGCAGGCTCCCGTCTGACAGACGCTGCGCGGATTCTCCTGTAACTGAATCTGTTAGTGTTGGCTTTCTGAGCCACACGCAGCAGTTTCACCTTATTAGAATGGTTTGAGTTGAGCTTGATTTGTCTGCAGCGGTTTTATAGGTCTCCTAAACGTATACTTAAAAGTATGTCAAGTGTACTTTAACAAAGACCGTGCCTGGATCTGTTCTCTCTGAGGTCAGTGTAAAACCTGGAACAATTACCTCTGAGCCTTGGACGGAGATCCTCTCTCACTGGGTTTGCTGGAAAAGTACTTAATTTGTGGTGGCGTCACTAAAGAATTTCTAGGACATGGCTGGTTAATTGTGTAAGATTTTATCTCATACAGTTATGTTCCAAACAATGAGTTGGGTTCAGTCTAATTTSACTTCAGCAAAATATGCATTTCTGACTTTGGGGGTTTCACTAAAAGCCCAGGTTACTGTCATTATCTGACATGAATTTAACTCCTCCATGATATACAATCCAATCTGGATTATAGATTTAACTCCCCCGTCACCAGTTTTGCCAAACTAAAGAGATTAATTGAGGTATCTTGCTTGTGTTTTTTAGCCCGAAGTTGAATCATTTGCTTCCTCTGGATAATGTCATTGCTGCCTCGACAGGCCAAACCACTGAGCTGCTAGACAGCTCYACTCTGTCTTCCTGCCCCTAAGAGACCACCATCTCAAAAATCATGACACATTGTTGTGACTCAAGCATTTCATTCGCTCTGGCAAGGAAATAAAATCCTATACAGATACCATCTGAAAACAGAAAAGCTGCTTCCATCCATGCTATTTGCTTTACCCATTTTTTTTTTCTTTCCTGGGTTGTGGAGCTGGTTTCTGTCTCCAGCAGTTGTTGTGCGAGAGGCAGGGGGACACAAGTCCAGCACAGGGACACATGAGACAAACAACCACACCTAGGAACAATTTAGAATTACCAGTTAAACTAACCTGCATATTTTTGGTCTGTGCGGGGGAAACCAGCATTCCTGAAAAACAACAACAACAACTAGTGCATGGGGAGAACATGCAAATTCAACACAGAAAGCAGTGTTGTATAAAGTACCACAAAGTGATACTTGAGTAAAAGTACAAGTATC